TGTCGATGCCATCATTACTTCAAGCATGAAAATGAAGATGCCGAAATTCAAAGAAGCCATGACATGTACAAGGCCATACGCTTCCTAGGTGACAGGGCCAAGACACGGAAACTGGACAGTAGCATGAGTTCTCAGAGGCCAGGTACCCATAGGTGGGGAGGCGTTTACATATCATAACGTCACTAATTCACGTATTCTGACTCCAAGGGCAGAAGTAATTTTGAGAAGTTACGAGGATTAACAACACTTAGGCCATAATATTAATGTCATTATCAATCAACACGATTAGTTCTTTTTGTAATGTAAGGATCATTTACTCTGCGCCAGTTTTTGGTGCTAAGTTTCCCAAAAAGTCTTGAGGTAAAATAAACATAAATCCCTTTAAATGAGAAAAGTATGTTCCATAGTAAGTACATTGCTTTACATCCATTAAAATTTTGAAAATTCACTTTTATCTTACAACTCATATACCATCTTCAAAGATAGAAAATATATTTGGTTTTAGTACTCTTCTGTCATTTTTGTGTTTTAAAGTTGTCTGATGTTATTCTGAAACATATAATAAATCAGTCTAAAACCCAAGTGGTCTTTTCATAAATAGAACAGTAATTAATGGCTTTCGCTTTGTTCTACAAGTGCATTTTTAATGGTACATATAATTGCATTGATACCAGAATAAAGTCATGAGGGGGAGATGACATGAGGGGTTGTTAGACTATTCATAGATGGATTTGGTAAATTTTGTACATTATCTCTGACTACTTAAAGCACAATTGATGAATACATTATAAATAGCTACTCCATCAGAGCTCGCTGTTAGTCTGTTCACCTGGCTCCAAGTTCTCCTTCTCTTTAATGCTTATCTAAAGATTACTTGAGCTTCTGCTAGTGAAGTTCTCGGCTTCGGTAGGTGAGAACTTGATACTGGTAGAGCAGGTGCCAACCAGATGCCGGGTGTTGTCATCGGACAAAAGCATAAAGGCAGTTTGTAGCGGGAATGGAAGGAAAGGGTGAAAAATATTACTTTCTTTAAATAGCCTTTTATTTGACACTAGAGTCGTTTTGCATACTATTAGTTTCTTTATGGAAATTTCTTCTGTGTGTTACACATACATTTTTAAAATCTCAAATTACTTAGAATCCAGGTGTTCTTTTTTCTCAGAGACTACACAATGAAATTTCCATTAATAGAGTAGTGATTAATTAGCTTTATAAGTAACAAAAGCAATAAAGAACTTTATGAAAGTGGCATTTTTAGTGGCAAAGTATAATTTGATGTTCTATATAAATTTAAATGGCCAGCCAAATAGCTCAGTGGATTAAGGTGACTGCAGGCAGGTGCAGGGGCTGGTGGTTCAATCCCCAGGCCTGGTGTGCTGGCCCTGCAAACAGGGGCCACTGAGATGGCAATTGAGACGGGGCATGGTGGCTCATGCCTGTAATCCCAGCTCTTGAGAGGCTGTAAACAGGAGGATCGCTATGAGTCTGATCTAGAAGTGAGACCCTGAACACCCTGTAAACCTTTCCATAAAATACAGGGAAAAAATACAATAAATTAAAAAAGCAAACGATGTTTCTGTGAGGGATGAACATTCCATGGACAAATCTAGATGATTTTTCACAAAACTTTCTCTTCTTGAGATTTACCACTATCTGTAGGAGAGCTATTGAATCCATGAAAATTATCAAAACAGATTATAGATTCTATGTTGATTATTTTTACACATTGAGGAGTATTAAAATCACAACCACATCTACACCCCATGGCAAGTGGTGTGGAAATCAGTCATGACTCCTATGTTTTTCTATGTCCTGAGACTTAGAGCCACTCTCTAGTCCATAGCAAAATGAATTGCACAATATCTTCAGTTTTATAGAGGACGTTTGTAGAAAACAGAGAAAGAGGTCAATAAATAATGAGCATTGGCCGGGAGTTAGTGAGCCACTGGTACAGTTACCGCAGTGACACACTCTTGCTACAAGTGTTGCTTATTACCCATTGAGTGACCATGCTTGCCTCCCTCAGGCCCCAAGCTCACGGGGTGCCTTCCGTGTGTTGAAGCCCTCAATTGCCCACATCAAATCTAGGACCCTTCTTGTAGACAGGAAACAGCCTCATCAAGGTCAAATTCTTCTCTTGGATGTCAAAGTGACAGAGTACACACCTTAGGTGATTGGCTTGACCAGTACAGTTTCTTAAGCTCCCTACACTATCACACAGATACCAAAAATCTGAGGGTTCTAAAGTCACTCTGAGCCTGATAAGAACTTGCCTTTTAAAAAGAAATCAGTTAGCAGGTGATACCAATAGATACTGGTTGTTTCTGAGAGTGATCTGCTTCTGATTGAACACATTTTCATTTTTATATGAAAAAAAAATCTAACACTTATCTCAGTCCATGAGGAAAGGATCATGTGCCTTTCTGGAACAGGATACCTAGTGGGTCTTTGGTGTTCAAAGCAGAGCTAACAGGCTATGCCTCTCATGGTTGCCATAGGGCTACAGGGCTGCGAGATGACCCGAGGTACTGAAATCTCTCTCACATCATCAATTTAGCAGAAATGGACCATCTGGCTGGTCTTACGCCCTGTACTTCCTAGAGATTATTATAGCAGCTGAAGCTAACAGCGGTCACATGATGGTTTCAAGCACTAATGTGGATTCATGTTCTATTTGACTTCCACTACCAGGCCTCTTCTGCATAGTAGGTTCCTACAGTGTCGAAGCATTTATTAATTCCGTGCATCACAGCTATGGAGGCAAAGTTGAGTGGAGGAATGTACTTTCCTGAAATGGGTGAAGATTTAAAATAACTAGCTTCATGGAAGAAGGACATAGAATTACCATTGGACAAATTCTCCCAAACTGACAATTAATGAGTCACTCAACAATAACTATTTTGGCGTGGGATAGTATCGGTGGAGTTGTACATTTATTGTGAAATGCTGAGCTGAAGTTCACATATAAGAGTGGAGCCTATTAGCGTCTACTGAAATGTACTAATGAAATAATGAGTGGCTACATTTATTTCGAACAAATGATTAAAATTGAAATAAAAGGGATAAAAATCCTATTTAATTTATAAATTCATCTTTCCCACTATGGATACAAAGCATTTTAAAATTCTCTTTCCTCATGTGAATGGAAATAGTTGCAGCATTTGCACAACATTATTTGGCCAGGCCACAACTTGCAGCGGCTTTGCTCTTAGTTAGGACAAAGACCTATTTTGGAGCATGCG